AAGCGGTTGTACGCCTTGGCAAGAATGATGAGGGCCACCACGTTGAACAGGATGCCCAGGGTCATGGTGAGGCCAGCAGCTGTGGGGTTGTTCGTTGGACGTGTGGCATTAGTTGCCCGCTGCACCACGGGGGTGTGGTTAGAGAGGGGAGGGAAGGCGGTCATGCCTGAGGAGTTATAGTGCTTCATCGCCAGCATCACGGCTTGGCTCAGGGCCTGATGTGGTTCCTCCGAGTGATGAGATCCTGAGGAGGAAAAGGACCAGATCAGCAGGCTGTGTGACAACTGAGTAGTCGTGGATGTGTGAACCCTGATTTAAAGCCCAACCAGGGACAGAGACTGCACACTCCATCTACTGCATGCCTACCAGTAATGATTATGTTTAACATGGGGCGGCTGTGGCTCAGGAGGTAAAACCAGAAGGTCGGGGGTTGGACTGCTGTTCCCCCAGTCCATATGTCAAAGTGTCCTTGGGCAAGACACTGACCCCGAGTGGCCAGAGCAGTGCCCTGCAGTGCCGCCATCAGTGTGTGTGTGTGCGCCACAGATGGCTGCCTCGGTTCTGTACCACAGACAAATTCCTTGTGTGTGTGAACATACGTGGCCAATAAAAGTGTTGAAAATGTAAAAAAAACTAACAAAAAGCCAACACTCCAGCTCTTCTCTACTGTGTGTTCAACTGAATAAGCTGCTAGTCTATAACGTGTGATTACTGCCACTGAGTGCCGACTGAAATAAAAGATACATCTCAATAACATGCATAAGGTGAGTTGTACATCTAATCGGCACACAACCAACACAGTGCTCATAGAGCAGCTCCTTATGTAAGTGTCAACTGTAGCCTACTGAGGGAAGGTTCAAACCAAATGTAAACAGCATTAGGTTTTTGTCAAAGTGACCCAGGGGGATAATTTCAAATAAGGTGTTTTGCTATTGTCATCCCTACAGGTGAGGAAGGCTCCTGGCGACAAAGTGATTCACCTTCACATGAACTAAGTTCTGAGGAAGCCTGAACAAGTCCTGACACTTTCTGCTGCAAGCGTTCTTCCCAGAACACACAAGGCCACACCAGCACAAGTCAGAGATATATGTTTATTGAGGTACCGAGGGTCAGTAGGTGGATGTGTTGGACCAGATGTACTTTAAGCTCCTGACCACGACTTGTTGTTTATCATCATCAGTGAAAAGTCCCACTAAACTAGAGTCCACTGTGCTTATGTGAAGCATACTGTTGCTGTAAAATTATCCACTTTTTTCTTTAATGTTCTCATTTAAACTTCAATTG